TGCTACCATAACAACACCTGCGCGTGAACATAATATAGTTTTTTTTAATATTATTATTTTTATCGCGTTCTACTTTATCTTTTCAGATTTGAAAATTATAAAAATTTGAACGTGTGCTATAAAATCATCATGATTTATAAATGTATTTGAAACTGTTAGTTCAGGGAATACTATTTTCTTCAAACCATATTGGATTTCATATGAAAATGCAAGTGAGAGTATTATTGTTTGTTGTACAATATTAATTTTATTTAAAAAGATAGTATAAATTATATAATATTACACAAATCAATTTTCATCTAATAAAATTCGTTAAAACTTATTGCACACCCCCAGCGCAGGTTAAATATCTACACCTCTGGTGTAGGTTAAAGATGCCTAAAATGAATCATAATATGTTTTGGTTCAGTACCACAGCAAAAAAAAAAAATTTTTTACCGAATCTTGTATGGGTTGTGTTACAATTGAATGAATAAATATATGGATAATTATAAGCTTGGTATATATTAACCCTTTTACCCGGAATTATTTCGAATATGTTTTATAATAATTCTATTTCTAAACTTACCTTAATAGCAAGAATTCCAATTTATGCTAAGCAATCATTGCTTAAAAGACGTTTTCAAATTCTTTCACCTATTAAGCAAAAATTTGAGACAATTGAAAATTCATTGATAAGTAAAGGTACATATATTTTTTTATATATTATGTGAATTTTTTTTTATATTTATCTAATATCACCAATGTCATATCAAATGTTTTTTTAATAAGAGAAGCCCGTAGTTAACATCACAGACAAAATGAATTCATTTAAAAAATCCTATTGGATAGATGATTTAATCAATCATGTTAAAACAAAATTAACAAGTTCCCAAAGGAATTCTAACAGTGCCGGAAAAGTTCCTAAAAGGGAATTGAAAGTAAGAAAAATGACGGATTCTTATGAAGAAGAAATTTTACCATTTAAAAGTGATCCTGAATTATTGGAAGAATATGTAAATCCGTATGGTAGTATCAGGTAATAATAATTCAATGAAGTGTAAAAAAAACCGTCGAATCATATCATAAAATATTTGTCAAAACAGGATTGGAAAAATATTTGAAAACTTGGATTTGTTAGCGGTACAAATTGCTTATAAACACTGTTCTATTGAAATGGAACAAAATTCTGATTTAACTATTGTGACAGCTTCACTTGATAGATTAGATTTAATTAAACCCTTACCTATAAGCGACATAAGACTTAGTGGTACGTATTTACAAACGAGATCTTTCTTTGTATAAAATAACCTAGTTATTTAATTATCTATTTATCACAGGTCATATAACTTATGTTGGTTATAGTTCCATGGAAGGTACTTTATCCCCTAGTAAATAACATATATATTTGAATAGGATAGGTTAATTTATTTTTTATTCAATAAATTAAGCGTTAATAAAGATAGAAGCATTAAAAGATGAAAAGTCCGATGATGATCATATAAAAGGAGACACGTTAATGATGGCAAGAGTTGTTATGGTAGC